GAACTCATCCTGTGTTTTAGTAAGATTGACCACTCCTGTAAGTTTAATGACAATTGGCCTATCTGTTTTTCTTATATTGTGTTTACAGTGTTGCATATATGCTGAAAAATGAAAAAACAGCATAACTACTAAAATAGTGGCCCTATCATGCTGATTTATGAACTTGACCTGCGTTTTAGTAAGATTGATTACTCCTGTGAGTTTCATGACAACAGGCCTAACGGATTTCCTTAAAATGTGTTTACAGGGTTGCATATATGCTGAAAAAAGAAAAAACAGCATAACTTCTACAATAATGGCCTGATCATGCTGATTTTCGAACTTGACCTGCGTTTTATGAATATTCATCAGCTCTGTAAATATAAAGCCAAAAAGTAAAACTGTCCTCCACTTATCGTGTTTACAAGGAAAGTGCACGGCGACGACAGACGCAGGTGATGGCAATATGTACAGACACATCTGTGTCTGTACATAATAATTGTATTGTAGGAGTAATTTTAAGTCAAGTTTAAGAAGAAAGACTTTCAACCCAACTTCGGGTCTTACTTTGTTCCAGTTTGAATAATATATACATCCTTCCCTCGTACAGACTCTTGGATATCAACAACAGTCTCTAAAAATATATAAAGCAACATGTATCATACAAAACAAAGCACAGTAATATAAGTATCTATGCCATTAATTTTTTTTTTGAAAGAATATAATAGTTTTTCTAATAATTCTTCAAAGATGCCGGTCAATTGAGAAAAGTCGACAGTTACAAAATACATGCAATCTTGTTGTAGATCACGCAAAAAAACAAAACCTGATTCACGTTATGAGTTTAACTAAATGACAAACATTCCGTTATCTGAAAGAAATAACACCATTCTACTCAAATGAAAATTAATTTTAAAGAAATACAAACTGATACATTTTCAAGGTTCTATCACTCAAACCTAGTTAGAAGATAGTTTGCCTACCTCTATTTGACTTGTGGTAAACATTGCTTATACCAACTCTTTCACAAAGTTTTCTGGAAAAAAAGGTTGACCTTGAAACTAAACAACCAGAGCGCTATTTCAATCATATGGACTTACAAAAGTTGTTGGCTATTTCTAATCAAATGTTGATTCCCATTATGAGTAGTACGTTTAATTGCTGTTACGCCGACATGAATCACAAGTTGAGTAACGTCAAATTTGTCAAGGCAAAGTGTCTCTCATCAAGAGAGCATCAGCAAAATAGCACAGTGAATCAAAACATTTCACTCAACAAGCAACACTGACAATACCAACGCATTTCAAAAACTAACAATGTCAAAATTTCCAAACGTACTCTGAAATCTGCTTTGTGAGTTCTGGGTGCGAATTCCCTGCTAGCAACACCAGTCCAGCCTTTTCTCCAGGATTCATGATTGCATGCGTGATAGAGTCTGTTTGTACACATGCAGAGCTCTAAAATGGCCACCCGGAGTGACCTTCACCTGCCTCGCTTTGGACTTAGCGGGAGAAAAGCACATGGCAGTGTTTATGTGAACATGGTGTTTTGTATCGAAGGTCAGTTATAGTAGGAGCGATGGGATGTTTTTTCGGTGCATTGTTATCCCCAGGCAATCATTTATTAGGAGACTGATTGTGATGAACAATAACACAGTAATGGAGGAACAGTCATCATACTTCAACCGAAGAATTACCAGATCGACGATAAAATCCGAAAGTGTTGTTGACAAGAAGGCAGATATTGCAGCATCGAAGAAACTGTCAAAACTGACGAAAGCAGCATCAGCGGGATCTGCAATAAGAGCTGAATCAACATCTACAGAGAAGGAAATTATAAATGACAATAAAAAAATCAAAATAGAATATGAAGAAACAGACAGTAGTGCACATTTGATTTCTGACGCTGAAGATTTTGAAGTTCCAGTTAAAAGAGAACAACAGGACTCAAAGCGTTCTGCTTGGGAGCCACCAAACTGCTGGCAACAGCTGGACAATATCCGTGAAATGAGGAAGGACAGGGACGCGCCTGTGGACACGATGGGCTGTGACAGGATAAGTGACCAAGACGCTAAACCACAGGTAATTTCCCAGTCCGAGTAAAAATACTGTTGTCTAGATCCCCTATTGTACTGGTACTTACTTTGATGTTTTGTATTTACTATTAAGTTAATATACAGAATATGTATCACTTCGGATTTACCACCATACAACCAGCTACTCTACCACCAGTATAAACTCAAATGCAAGGTGTACCTACATGAATGACAAAAAGGTATTTTTATGCATGAGAGCATCTATTATTGTTGTAGGTTTACAGGTATCAGGTGTTGCTGTCTTTGATGCTGTCAAGTCAAACCAAAGATCAGGTCACATCTGCTGCAATGACAAGACTAAGACAACATGGCTGTAACATTACAAACATCTTAGCCACTGATGACAAGAAACTTGGGGAACTCATTTATCCTGTTGGATTTTGGAGGGTATATCGCAGAGTATATACATATATAATATATGGTTGATAATATGAATAAAACAGTATCTGTGTTTGTATACTTGAATCACAACATGGAGGTAGATAAAGTTGCATATCTGTAGTGGAATTAAGTGGATAATCACAGACTTCATAGTGTTTGCAATATCTTATATAGAATGTC